TGGCCTGAGCCAGCACCCCCCCCCACTCGCGATCTACAGCCCTCACCCCGGCCTGGCCAGCACCCCCCACTCCCGCCCCTCAGCCCCTGGCCGGTGCCCCCCACTCCCGGCCCACAGCCCCCAGCCAGCGCCCCCCACTCCTGGACCGGCGCAAGCCAGCGACCCCCCCACTCCCGCCCCCCAGCCCCTAGCGCCCCCTGCAGGGCTGGTACCTTTTCCTCCAGCATCCACTTCTCCTGCTGCGTCTCCGCCAGGCGCTGGAACAGCTCCGAGATCTCCTCGTCCGACAGCTCCGCGGGGCGCTGGGCCTGGGGGCTCCCCGTGTTGGACTGGGGGGGGGGCAGAGCTGCCCTGAGTGCCAGCTGGACCCCAGGGGGAGGGGTGATGGGGATTGTGAAGAGGGCGGGGCCTGCCATGGGGGCAGGGCTGGGCATAGTCTGAGGGAAGTGGGGAGGGGAGGAGCCAGACACAAGGGGCGGGGCTAGCAGCAGAGGCCACGCCCCCAGGCAGGGAGGGAGTAGGAAGGGGCAGAGGGCAGCACAGGAGGTCCGGCCCTTTTAGGAGGGAGGGGGAAAGGAGCATGGGGGGGGCTTGGCACCCAAGAGCAGGAAGCCCCGCCCCTCACCTTGGTGCTGCCGGGCCCAGACCCCTCCTTCATGATCTCCCGGTAGCTGAAGGACGAGATGCTGCTGCTGTCGCCCGTCTGCGCCCGGCTGGGGGAGCTCATCTCGGCCAGAACCAGCTCCTCAATCCCTGCGGAGACAGGGCATGGAACCCAGGAGTCCGGGCCCCCACTCCCCTCCCAGAGCCGGGGAGAGAACCCAGGAGTCCGGGCTCCCCCCACCCCCACTCCCCTCCCAGAGTCCGGGCTCCCAGCCCCCCCAAACCGTCCTGCTGGGCCGTTCCAAACAGAGGGGTCCCCCATCAAACCAAATACCAACTGACCCCTCCCCCCTCCATTCCCTACCAGCGAGGGAATAATTCACAGCCTGAGCAGGGCTGAACCAGGCCGAATGGGGTGGGGGCTGCGATGCTGCATGGGGCCCGCGAGCCCGGTGCGGAGATGCAGCCAGCTCTGGGGTGGGGCAGCTGGGGAACAGCCACATATAATGGCTTCCCGGAGCTGGGGGGAGAACCCAGGTGTCCTGGCTCCCAGCCCCCCCGCAGGGGGGGACAGAAATTGAGGGGCTCGTTAAGCCAGGCGACGGTTATTCCGAGGGAGATGAAGGCTCGGCGCTCCAGATAAATACGTTTCATTTCAACGTGTTTCTTTGCCATGGGAATTAATATTTCATGCCCAGAAGCGTATTTAACGCTCCAGCTCCCCGCAGCAGCGAGGCCGGCTCGGAAACGACGCACGCGTTTAATATTTGATCTCCCCTTCTCCTGCCACGTTCCAGTGAAAAGCAGAACGCTTTTGCCTCTTGGCACCTGGCCCCGGAGACGCCGCCCTCGATGGCGTCTCGCCGTGGAGGGGAAACTCTGCAGATTCAAGGAACGGCCCAGCCCCAAAAGCCACCGAGTCAAACACACGCTCCTCTGGGGCGCTCCCCACGTCTGTACATGCCTCCATCCCCGCTCTAAAGCTTGCTGAGTTCTTGGCCTTCTGGGCCATCCTGTGGCGAGGAGTTCCACAGGCTCCTCCTTTGAAACGGCCCCCTCCCCCTTCTGGGAAGCCTTGGCCAACTGGAGAATGTTGGGACTGTCCCCTAATGGTGGGGGAGGGAACAGCTCACAGGCCGCACTCCCATCATCCCCTACAGGCCACAGCCTAAGATCACTGCAGATTCACTGTGTGGCTGCCCCCCCCCAGCTGCCTCGCCCCAGAGGTGGCTAAATCTCAAGACTGGGCGAGCCATCCCCGTGTGGCGTTATGTGCGGCTGTTCCCCAGCTGCCCTGCCCCAGAGGTGGCTGCATCTCAGCGCCAGATGAGCCATACTTGTGCAAAGGAGCTTGGGAAGGGACTTGGAGGTTGAGGGGAAGGTCCCGGATCCCGTTCCCTCGTCCCCCCCCCCCGGGCCCAGCCAGTCCCCGGCCCTGGTGCCAGACGGGGTGGGGGGCCCGGTATCCCATCCCCGCTCACCCGTCCTGGTCTTGCTGTTGGTCAGGATCTCCTGCAGTCGCTCCTGCAGCTTATCCGCCCGCTTCCGCTCCAGCTGCAGCTGCCGCTTCAAGTCTTTGAGCTACGGAGAAGGGGGGGCCAAGAATTGAAAGGGCCCAGGGGCCCCGAGCGCAGCCCTGTGCCGGCCAGGGGGTGCTGGGGGGGGAGCAGGGAGCGCGCTGCTGTTTAACCCCGTCTCCCCGGGGGGACTCCACGACCTGCCAGCCCCTCCCACACACACTGCAGTGCACGGAGCAGCGTCACAGCAAGGAGAGTGCCCGGGGTCTGTCCCGGCTCGGGGGGCAGCGGGGGATCAGGACTCCTGGGTTCCAGCGGCGGGGCCGGAGGGGATCGGGACTCGGGGATCACTCACAGCGGCGCTGCCTTTCTTCTCCAGGATGCGCTGGCCGTCCACCGTGTCCTTCACCTCCTGTCAGAGACGAGGTGGCGTCAGTTTCACCCCCAGCCCCGCCCCGCCCCACCCCGCGCCGGGGGCTCTGGGGCCGGAGGGAACCCGGGCCGCCCCTCACCTGTCTGAGGCGGCTGATCGTGCCCACGTGCTCGTCCCGGGAGCGCTCGGCCGCCCGCAGCTGCTCCCTGGTAGCTTCCACCTCCTGGTCCTTCAGCTGAGGGGAGGGACAAGCAGCCAGGGGTCAAAGGGCTGTCCGTCCCACAGAACATGCAGCCACCTCTGGGGAACAGCTGTGTATAACACCACACCGGGAGTCTCCCTGGCTTGAGCTGCAGCCACCTCTGGGGTGGGGCGGCTTGGAACAGCTGTGTACAACACCACACCGGGAGTCTCCCTGGCTTGAGCTGCAGCCACCTCTGGGGCAAGGCAGCAGCCAGTCGTACCTTCAGCTCGGCCGCGTGCTGCTCCTTGCACACTCGAAGCGCCTCTTCGTGGTTCTGTTGGTGCTTTTCAATCAGCTCCTGCAACACGAGAGAAGCCTGGAGTGAGACCGGCCGGGGACAGGGGGGGCGCGAGACCTGGGGCC